ACCCCCAAGACGAAGTCGGGGAGCGCCAGAACTTTGCTGACATACTTCAGTGTCGAGAACGCGCTCACAAAAATGAAAAGCGGCTCTAAACAAAGCTCGTAAGTACTTTGTAGGAGAGATGTGTGCCACCGACACCGACACTGGCACACCCCGTCGCATTTATATAATTAAGGTATAATTATTATTATTGTGATCGGACTGAATTAGTATTTTAAGAGAAATAGTTTGTAATTTATATTAACACGAGGGAGGAGAGGAATTTCATCGTCGAGTCGTTCCGGCCGATGTGTCCGCGCGCACACAGAGGACATTATTGTATACGTTGCGTTGCGATTCATTCATTGTAATCATTTATTGGAATGAATCAAATCAAATTAAAGCGATTCGTTTCCTGATGATGTGTGTAACTCTGATGTTCGCAGCGAACATGTTGAACAATAACGTACTAAATCTAAGTAATAAAGGTATAATACAAACCTGTGGCGGGCGTTTCATTGCATCGTGCGAGTGCCCCCGCGGCTTATCTCATATCACCTACCTGCCGCCTGTCACCTGCCACCTGTCACCTGCCGCCAGCTGACCGGCGAGAGGTCCACGTCACCGAGCAGATACTTTCTTATCAAACAAACATTATCTAACTTTAGATAGCGACATGTGCGAGGAGCACTTCATCATGTTGGGGCTGGTGCGCCGGCTGCGAGAGTTCTCGCCAGGAGTTGGGGTGTTTCAATAAAACAATAAAGTAGGATGTGCCATTGCTCACTCTTTATTACGCTTGTTAATTCAATGTATAAAACATAATATAAATTATCTTGTAAAATATCACCACTGAGTTGCATCATGGCCGCGAGCTCGCTTCCTGTTATGTAACATCGCGTGGTCGGCTTTGCTTTGCAAACTTAACAATCGATCATTTAAACATCTCAATTGTTTCAAAAGATTATCGATGTTTTTAATTTATTCTCGTACAGAGGACGAGGGTCGCGGTCTGCTCGCGGCCACGGCCTAGCGTCAACAATGTACGGTGTCAGTAAGTAGAGGGCTGGGGAAGGGAGAGGAGATGAGAGGGAAGGCAAGGAGGTAGGGAGGAGAGGGTCGGACAAGCGGCCGTCGTACAATTTGTTATACCTACTACATCTAACCAGCTTACAGCTACCACTTACGCTATGTACATACAATCTTTATCAAGCGACGTTTTCATCTTAAAAAAGTCCTTACTTTTATCGTATTAATTTGAAAATTTGTTAAATGTCTTTGAGTTCACTGAGTTCGTTCACACCACCTTTTTACATTTTTTTATATTTTACGTTCATTTTATAATACAACAAGAATAAAAGAAGTTTAGCCCTGCTAAATCTACACGCGATGTAGCAGCGTGCCGGGGGCGGGGGCCGGGGGCGACACACACACACACACACACAAACAATACAGAAGCAGATCATCAATCAAAAGCTTTTCTAACATCAATATCTATGCTAACATCATAAGAAGGAAAGATTTATACTTTTGTATGTTACGAATAAAATAAAAAACTACTGGACCAATTTCACACTTTCATTGTCACTGAGTAACATCTATCTTTAATACTACGTTTTTTAATTCCGCGCGGACGAAGTCGCGGGCAAAACCCAGTTAATAAAAAGCTTATAATAAAGTTCTTATAGAGCCTTGTAGGTCTCGAGGGCAACACGCGAGCTTTCCTCACATTTGTACATAAAGTAGTAGGAGGGAGAGGAGTTGCCCCTCTCCCCCCCCGCGCGCCCCGCACTATATGTAGACTCGCGCGACGTTGGATGTTTGCGATAACGAACTCCGCTTACAAAACTTGTACATGACTATCTAAATGTTGCCGTTAACACAAATACCCAGCGGCCGCGACTCCACATCAAAAATCATAGATCAAATATAAGTGCCGTTTCGTGTGATGCGGATGTTTCCCTCGGTCGCATGACGCTACACAAACTCCGTACGTTCAATACGCATACCTACATCGATCTCTTCAATGTTTACAAAAACTTCTACCTACTATGAAATTACTAACAAACATATTTTTTCTAAGTGAAGGCGTTACGTTTTAGTACATTTATGTATATTAAGTTAGTATAAAGTGCACCTTAACGAGCTAATTGTCCACTTCAAAGATTCACTTTATCTATAAGTCACGTCGCCACCTTAGGGCTTCGTGAACAAAGCTACGTAAATCACCGATACTCAATGGTTTAGTCTCTAAGCGATTCTCGCATTACAGTGTCATATAGAAGGACCAGAATCGCAGAATATCGGAGATTTATGTAGTCAAAATAACATATCAGAGACCATTTCAGCCGCACTTTACTTTCAAAGAGGTTCTAAACGACCAAAAGTTAATTTATTTAATATGATTTTATGAACAGTTCAAGGAAAGCCTTCCATTGCGTATGCTGCGTATTGTTCTCAAAACTTGTACCTACTGAATAGCGCAAAAATATCCGCATCACTCGACATGAACCCCCTGCGCCCCCCGCACCCACCGCGCCGCTCTGACCGCCGGGCACCCCCTGCGCCCCCCGCACCCCCCGCACCGCTCTGACCGCCGGGCGCCCCCTGCACCCGCCGCGCTCGCACATCACTTACAAAAACGAGTAAAGACATCAAAAAACTAGTTGCGCGCGCGACGCACATACACTTTGTACTTTGATCATTTAGTGCAGAGGAACTCGAACACTGGAGCGATCACACGGACATACATACGCACTATCAACATTTACAATCATTTTATAGAAAACGTGGTCGAGAAGCGCTACACCGCTCCTCCACGAGACCCCGCGTACTCCCTACGAAGTAATTCTAGGCTGCGTTTTTATATAAAACATTATGTACGACGTGTCGGCGCTCTGTCGCCGCGACTTGTCGTATCGTGACCTTTGGGGTCATGTCGTCGATGACGTTATGAAAGCACGAAGTCGACCCTGACGCCATCTCGAGTGGTCGAGAGGGACACGGGTGGCAGCATCAGGGCGGCGCCCGAGCCCCCGCCGTCACCGAACATGCGCGCGAGCATCACATGACGCGACCTCACACGAAGATAATCACAGGAGCGCGGGCCGCTCCTCGCAGTGGACGTTCTGGAATATGAACAAAAAAATTGTCAATGGAAATTGTTCCTCGATAACTTTGTCATTACTGGAAATTAATTAGTTATACATACGTGCGCGTGCGGCCGCCATCACCAGCAGAAGACGGAGAGCTCGCCGTGCGCCGCGCCCACCGCGCGCCACGACCTCACGCCGCCGCCCACCTTCAGCTGCACATCACATCCCCAGCTGTTAGTGCTTACTGCAGCCGCTGTCTACTTACTATACGCCTCAACTTCACCTTTCTACTTAAACAAATCTTAGTCGAATATCATAATTCACTATTTCATAATCCCCCCCATATTCGTTCGTTTGCATTTCATTTTCATTTATATTTTATTCCGTAAAGATATTTGAAGCGTATTTGTTTTCTCAAATCCTATAAGTATTATAATGTCGTGATGAAAATTGGATTAATAATTAGAGTTGCACTAGACGCAAGGACAGAGGTTGTGTTGCATTGTCTGGCGGGCGGCGTAGTACGCGTGTCGGCGTGGACAACGGCGACAACACAACACAACACAACACAGCTCTAGTCGGTACTGAGGTGCGCGCGCAACCGACGCGCTCATTCAGCCGCGCTCAATGACTCGCGCCGCGCGCCATTCACTGCGCCGCGCCGCACCGCACCGCACTCCAACAGAACAATACACATATATTCCGATTTTACTTTAGGTACGATATACATTTTAACAAAATATTCAAACATGCAAACGGCGAAACGAATGAAAAATGTTATGTGGATGTTTTATGGACTATGCTATGTGCAACGACCTTTGAGTGGCGAACGGTGAATAGTTGTCGCCCCTCAGGCGTTGCGTGCGTATTTCTTGAGAAAAACTGATGTGCATTCAGTAAATATGATTTCAGAGTACATTGCTCGGATGCAAGCTAATAATACAGACACATGTTTAGCCGCCTCGCTCAATAACCTCATGTCGATGTCGATAAATGCCACTTTCATCTTAAAATGACGTTTCATGCTAGCGGTTACAAATTCCTAAATGTGGCCAAGAACTAAGTAGAGGCATGTACGTGTATCGTTATTTAATATGGTAGGTAATAGTTTACAACTTTCTAGAAATCAAAACGACATAGCTTTATGTTAGGAGCCGATGTTGTTCATATCGAGTGTCGGTAAGTCGTCGGTTCGTTGACTCTGCTTTATCTGCGCCTCATCCGCGCGTTATCCTGACTGTTGATAGTGCGGACGTGCGATAACATACATCGCCACTTTATTAACAACTTATTGTAAATAAGACGGCAGACAGTCGCGGAAACCTTTATGGAAAGCAATATTGAGCCACCTTGTTGATTACATATAATTTGGTTGATCATCTTGACAAAAAAAAGAAGTGTCAAAATGCGTTGTAAAAATGACAAACACTAAATGACAGTTTCACGAACGCAGAAATAAAAGAGCGTCGATAGCGCAGTCGTTTAAGCTCTGGAGTTGTAATCTACAGATCCCGTCTTTGATACCCGCGGATTGGTAAAACAATGTGGTTTTCGCTTTCCGAATACCATAAGTATATTATCCGTTGTTACGATGAAGTATAGAAACGTATTGCAACCTGTACATATCTGCAAGGAAATTCAAAAATATGTGTGAAGTGAAGCCGCACTGGGCCAGCGTGGTTGACTTGGGTTCGAGGTATCCGTCGGGAGATGCACAGAGGGAGATGAGGTGAGGTGACGGGTGACGGGTGACGGGAGGCAGGCGGCGGCGACAAGCGGTTGCACTAATCTAATTACATTGAGCTATGTAAATCTACGAGCGAGTCGGAATCCTTGACAACTGTACAAATTCCTTGCAATATTAATGTTCCAAGCGACCGGCTGCAGCGGCGGACTGGTCGAGTTGCATTCTCGTTTTTTTTACAACATATATTTAAATCGGTACGCGCTCGCCGCCGCACCGCGACTGCTTCTGTGTCTTTATTGGTTTTATAATCCTAAGCGGCTTGTACTAATACCCATATTTAATATTAATAGACGAAGATCACACAAGTTTAAGATGTCGTATGTACGTAACATTTAGTGAGGACGGCTGAGTACAGAGTGAACGTGTAGTACCTGCTGCATCTTGTCGAAGTCGAGCGCGGGGCGGTGTCTGCGGGGCGGGGGGAGCGCCACGCGCCGGCGCCGCGGAGACGCGCACCCCTCGCCGCCCCCCGCACCGCCCGCACCGCCCGCGCGCCGCGGCTTCAGCGCCTCCAGCGGGGGCGACGTGCGGAAGCGCACCGGAGTCTCCACCTGGAACAGTGTTACCAATCCTTGAAACTCGACTGCCATTTATACTAACATTTAAATTCTACACCGTATCTTGAATGTACCGAAAAAATAGGTCCATTTTAACATATAAAACATCGCATTTTGACTATCACAGGGACAGTTGATAAAACCTCTACAAAG